TGTTTGAAGCAGCACCATTAAGAATAAAATAACTGAATATAAAATTTCAGCTGCCATTCACCACAAAGAATATAAGATACTATAGACCAAATATGTGTCCTGCCTCAAATTCACATTGTTGAAATGTAATTCCCAATGTGGAAATAAGGTCTCTGGAAGGTGATTAGGTCATATGAGTGGTGCCATCATGAAAGGGATTAATGTCCTTATTAAGGAAGCTCCAGAGAGCTTCCTCATCCCACATCTTCTCACTATGTATGGAGACATAGTGAGAAGAAAAACATCTATAAACCAGGAAGCAGGTCCTAATGTAGTAGTGCATTGATAGTGGACTTCCAGCTTCCAGAACTATGAGAGAGAAATTTCTGATGTTTAGAGGTCACCCAGTATATGGTATTTTTGCTATAGCAGCCCAAAGAGACTAAGATATAAGAGTTTGAAGTTTGATTTAATCTAAGCTGTGTGCTAAAACAAAATAAAAAATTAATGCTCTTTAAAGTAACATAACAGAATGCAGAAATTCTACCATTCATAATGTCCAGGATACAACTAAAAATTACTAGGCATGTTAAGAGATAGGAAAATGTGACCCACACTTAAAAGAAAAGGCATTCAATGGAGACTAATCATGAGATGACCCAGATGTTGGAATTAGTACACAAGGAGTTTAAAGCAGGGATTATAATTCTATTCAGTACATAAAAGAAATTATCTTAATGAATGAGCAAATAGGTCATCAGAAAAATATAAACGATATACATAGAAAAAGAATGAAATAGATATTCCAGAACTACAAAATACCCTACCTAAAGTTGTATTTTCTTTTTTTTTTTTTTTAATATATTTTTTTAATTTTTATTTATTTATGATAGTCCTAGAGAGAGAGAGAGGCAGAGGCACAGGCAGAGGGAGAAGTAGGCTCCACGCACCGGGAGCCCGACGTGGGATTCGATCCCGGGTCTCCAGGATCGCGCCCTGGGCCAAAGGCAGGCGCCAAACCGCTGCGCCACCCAGGGATCCCTAAAGTTGTATTTTCATATGAGCTTAATAGTAGGTTGTGATGACAGAAGAACCAGTAAGTTTGAAGCTAAATATATATTATCCAGTTTGAAAGCAGAATAAAACAATGGGGAGAAAGAGCAGAACCTCAAGTACCTGTGGGCATCTACCAAAAAGTTCATTTGTAAGATTGGAATATCAAAAAGAAAAAAATTAGAAATTGGGCCAAAAAAAGTTAAGGACTCAATGGTTGAAAATATCCTAAATTCGGTGAAAGTTCTAAGTTTATAGAGTCAAGAAATTTAGTAAACTCCCATTAGGATAAATATGGATATGCATAGTCAAATTGTTAAAATCCAAAGATAAAGAGAAATCTTGAAAGCAAACAGAAAAAATGACATATTACATATAACTTAGCATCAATTTGAAATATTGGTGACTTCTTATAAGAAACAATGAAAATCAGAAGAAAATGGTTAATTTTTAGAATGCTGAAGGAAAAAAAAATGATCAACCCAGAATTTTATTTACACTGAACATATTCTTAAAGAATTAGGGTGAAATAAAGATATTTCTTAATAAAACTAAGAGAATCTTCTGCGAATAAACTTTCACCAAAGGTGAAAGAAACGAGGTCTCATATACGAATAAAGAACACTGGAAATAGTAAACATATGAGTAAATATAAGGACTATTTTTTCTTATTTCTTTAAAATACTTATGATAATTGGGGTGCCTTGGTGGCTCAGTCAGTTAAGCATCTGCTTTTGGCTCTGGTCATGATCCCAGGGTCCTGAGATCAAGCCCCACATTGGGTTCTCTGCTTGGCGGGGAGCCTGTTTCTCCCCCTCTCTCTGTCTGCTGCTCTGCCTGCTTGTGCTCTCTTTCTTTTTCAGTCTCTGTCAAATAAATAAATAAAACCTTAAAAGAATATATGATTATTTAAAAAATTATAAAACTCTGTTGTGGAGCTTATAACATATGTAAATATACAAATACAAATGATAACATAAAGGAGCACAGAGGTGGCAAATGGACCTAGATAATTGCAAGAGTCTTATGTTTTACATGAATTGGTATATACATGGTAAACTGTGAAAATTTAAGGATGTATATTGTAATCCCTAGAGCAGCCACAACAGCTAGAAAGCCTATAGACAAAATGAAATTATTTATTTATTCAAAAGATGGTTAAAGGAAGAACAGAGGATCAAAAATCAATGGCACAGAGAGAAAGAAAATCAAACATAGTAGACTTAAATCTAACGATAGCAAAACAGTTGATCTTTGAACAACATGGGTTTCAACTACGTGACTCCAGTTATATGTAGATTTTTTACAGTATAGTACTATCAATGCATTTTTTGTTCCTTATGATTTCCTTAATAGCATATTCTTTTCTCTAGCTTACTTTATTGTAAGAATACAGTATATAATACATATAGAAAATATGTGTTAATTGAATGTTTATCAGTAAGGCTTCTGGTCAACAGTAGGGTATTATTAGTTAAGTTTTTGGGGAGACAAAAGTTACACATGAATTTTTGACTGTGTGGGGGTTGGCACCCCCTAACCCCTGCATTATTCAAGTGTCAACTTGTAATTGTATTAAATCTAAATGGGCTAAAGATTACAAGTAAAAAGCTAGGGATGGGGGGATGGTAGAATTTTAATTTAGTAGCAAGAGGAAATTAGAGAACTATTAGAGTGGCAATTTTACTTCTGATCATATAGGTTGTTGAATTCTAAAATGATTTACCCATGAGATTGTGTAGGTTCTCATATTTATCATATGGTTTGGGTATCCTTCCCTTATATCGGGGATATATAATCTCTAGAAAATGTCCTTAAATTCAAATGTGAAAAAACAGAGGTTAGGGTCTGAATGCTTCCTCTCTCAAGAGGCCTTTGGGATTTTACTGCAAATTTCTTCCTAGTATCCAGCATTCCATATAATAAGATTTAATTTGCCTATATAAATAACTTGGAGGGCCGCTCAAGTAACTTTCTACAGGACAAAGATTAGATATCCTAGATTAAGAAAAAAATAGTATGAAAATTGTAATTATTCCCTTGATAACTACCTTTCTTTCAGTAAAACTGAAAGCTCTGTCTCATTCCTCTTTGTCTCCCCAGCAAATTAATCCAGGGCCTGGCACAACAGTGGGCATTAAATAAATAACACAATGTGATTCCTAGTCCTAGAAGTAATTTACAACTGCCTTTTAAATACATTTACCTGTATATTATTTACTAACTTTAAAAACTACTTTTATTAATGAATAATTTTATATAATAAAAAGTTTCCATTTTAAGTGTATAGTTTGATGTTCTTAATAAATGTATACACCCATGCAACCACCAACACAATCAAGATATTTGTATATGGGGAACAATGCTAGAAATTATATCAATGAGGAAAGCCTAAAAACTCTTCATGATAAAGAATTATTGGTCCTCTATTCTCCAATTCACAAGGTGTTTTCATTTTTTTCTCTCTTACCAGACTAATTACCCCAAATTCTAGGCAGTACTGTATATAGGAAACCCTAAAGACTCCATCAGAAAACTACCAGAATTGACAAATGAATTCAGTAAAGTTGTAGGATATAAAATCAATTTACAGAAATCTTTTGCATTCCTATACACTAATAATGAAGCAGCAGAAAGTGAAATTAAAAGGGTTGCATGGGTGGCTCAGTTGGTTATGCATCTCTCTCTCTCTTTTTTTGTAATTTAATTTATTTATTTCAGAGAGAAACAGTGAGTGAGAGTATGACCAGAAGAGTAGCAGACTCTCCACTGAGCAGGGACCCCCCCCCCCAACTTGATATGGGGCTCAATCTCAGGACTCCAGGATCATGACCTGAGCCCAAGGCAGATGCTTAGCCAAGTGAGCCACTCAGGTGCCCCTGCACCCAACTCTTGATCTCAGTTTAGGTCTTGATCTCAGGGTCATGAGTTCAAGCCTCACATTAGGCTCCAAAGGAAAAAAAAAAGTGAAATTAAGAAAACAATCCCATTTATAATTGCCCCCAAAACAATAAAATATCTAGGAATCAACTTAACCAAAGAGTTGAAAAACCTGTAATCTGAAAACTATAAAACACCAATGATGATATAAAGAATGGAAGAATTATGCTCAAGGATTGGAAGAATATTGTTAAAATGTCTATACTACCCAAAGAAATCTACACATTTAATACAATTACTATCAAAATACCAACAGCATTTTTTACAGAACTTGTGCAAACAATCCTACAATTTGTATGGAACCACAAAGACCTGGAATAGCAATAGCAATCTTGCGAAAGAAGAACAAGGCTGGAGGCATCACAATTCCAGATTTCAAGTTATATTACAAAGCAGTAGTAATTAAAAAGTATGGTATTGGCAGAAAAATAGACATATAGATCAACGGAAAGAAGAAAAAACCCAGGATTAAACCCATGATTATATGATCAATTACTCTTCAACAAAGGAGGAATGAACAAACAATGGGAAAAAGACTCTTCAACAAATAGTATTAGGAAAACTGGTCAACCAGATGCAAAAGAATTAAACTGGACCACTTTCTTTCACCATATACAAAAATAAACTAAACATGGATTTAAGACCTAAATGTGAGACCTGAAACCATGAAAATCCTTGAAGACAGTACAGGGAGTAATCTCTCGAACATCAGCTGTATCAAAATTTTTTAGTCATGTCTCCTGAAGCAAGGGAAGCAAAAGCAAAAATAAACTATTGGGACTTTATCAAAATAGAAAGCTTCTGGACAGCAAAGGAAACAATCAACAAAACTAAAAAGCAACCTGTAGAATTTGATATTTGCAGATGACATATCTAATAAGAGTTGTGTATACAAAATATATAAAGGACTGATACAACTCAACACCCCCCAAAACAATCCAGTTTAAAAAATGGGCAAAAGACAAACATTTCTTCAAAGAAGACACACAGATGGCCAACAGACACATGAAAAGATGTTCATCACTTACCATCAGGGAAATGCAAATCAAAACTACAACGAGTTATCACCCCACACCTCTCAGAATGGCTAAAATAAAAAACACAAGAAACAACAAATGTTGGTGAGGATACGGAGAAAAAGGAAGCTTCTTGCACTTTTAGTGGGGTGCAACCACTGTGAAAAACGGTATGGAGTTTCCTCAAAAAGTTAAAAATATAACTACCCTATGATTCAGGAATTGTGCTACTAGGTATTTACCCCCACAAAATACAAAAGCACTCTATGTTTATTGCAGCATTATTTACAATAGCCAAACTATGGAAACAGCCCAAGTGTCCATCAATACTGAATGAATAAATAAGATGTGATATATATATATATACCATGGAATATTATTCAGTCATAAAAAGGATTAAATTTGCAACAACATGGATAGAGATAGACAGTATAAGGCTAAGTGAAATAAGCCAGAGAAAGGCAAATACCAGATGATTTCAATCATCTGTGGAATTTAAGAAACAAAACAAATGAACAAAGGGGGAAAAAAAAAAGAGAGAGAGAGAGAGACAAACCAAGAAACAAACTCTTTCCTATAGAGAACGAACTGATGGTTACCAGAGGGGAGGTGGGTGGGTGGGAGGATGGGAGAAATAGGGGATGGGGATTACAGAGTACACTTATAATGATGAAAAAAATTAAAATGAATGAAAAAAATTAGCTTAAACCAAAAACAAACCAAGAGGCAGGCCTAACAATAGCATCTTCTGATAGCCTCCAAACTGGAGAATTTCAAAGCAGATTATCTGTGTTATAGTCAGTGGATAAAAATAAAGAAGAACAAAGTAGATCCTTGGCAACAAAGAAATAATTCTGCTACTGATTCTGCAGTTAACAGAAGTTTACCAATCATTTAACGTGCATGTGGCTCTGTGGTTGCTGCAGGGATCTAGTAGTGAGACAGCACTTATGGTTCCAAGAGGTCACAATCTCCTGTGACCTCTTGAATGACGGTGATACAAAAATAATCATAATGCAAATGTATCATAGACACATGGGGATTACTAATTGAGGTTTAAATTTTTTTTAAAGATTTTTAAATTTTTATTTATTCATAAGAGACACACAGAGAGAGGCAGAGACATAGGCAGAGGGAGAAGCAGCCTGTGGGGAGACTGATGCGGGATTTGATCCCTAGACTCCGGGATCACTCCTTGAGTGGAAGGCAGATGCTCAACTGCTGAGCCACCCAGGTGTCCTGAGGTTTGTTTTTGTTTTTGTTTTTGTTTTTTTTTTAAGAGACCAGCCATATCTTTAAAACATATTTGGTGTTTATTAAAATAATAACCTAGTGTGATAATCTATGGAAGTCAAGATTAGGATGAAGGAGCCAGGCCTTCTTTATTTTTGTTGTTTTTTCAAAGCAGTTAGAAAACTTGCAAAGACAAGTTTCTCACTTGCTTATCGCTCCAGACTCAGTCTCTCAGTCAGGAACCACAGTTTCCCACTAAAACTGGCACAAAATGGGTTTCTGGAATGTGAGAATGATGGAAGAGTGGCTAAAGTTCAAAGTCGAGGTGGCCTTCCTCCCCTGAGAATAAAGAAATCACACCAGGACAAACAAAAGAGAGAGAAGTGGGTATGGCAATAGAGTTTAGGGATTGATTGGAGTTAGAAAGTTAAGTTGATAATTCTGGGCTCAAAACCAAAGTGGTACTCAGATCCATCCTCACTGATTGGGAAGAAAGAAGCCCTCTTCCTAGAGCTGGCAGTGACGAAGTGTCCTGTGCACAGTTGGAACTGTGAGTCTGTGTAGACATGTATGTCTCCTATAAACTAGTTTCAGACCCCAAATCCCCTTGGTCACTGGGCATGCTCAGCTTTGTCTTCCGCAGAAAAGTGGATTTGTGTGTGTGTGTGTGTGGGGGGGGCTCCAGATTTTAGCTTTGGCAACTTGGGGCCGGACAGGCTGGTGGTGTCTGGCGGGAGGCCACAGGTGGAATCTTGAAAGAGGCCACAGGTGTGAGGACTAGGGGGCAGCTGGGAGGAGCGTCAGAGTAGGACCCCAAGGACAATCCATCAATGTGACCCATTTTGATCTGGTCCGCAGCCCTTTGTAAAGGAGCCAGTTGGTTCTCTGGAGACAGGGAGAAGAGACGTTCAGGGTTCTGGTCCTAGTCCGTGGGAATGAATCAGGGGCTAGGGAATGAATGGTCGTTAGTATTCAGTAGTACGGCTCCCGAGTCCTCCCCTGCAACTCCCTTCTAGGGCTGCAATCTCCCTTTGCAAGACACCGGGTGTAGGCGCAGAAACGCACGCGCTGGACGGAGGGTGCTCACCGGGCAGCCCCCACCTCCCCCACTCGCCCCCCTCCTCACCAGCCCAAATTAGTCGCCAGGGGCCAACATCTGGCCGCGCTCGATCAGGCTCCGAGACTCACCTTGGCTACCTCGTCCTTTGCGCCTGGACTCCTGATGGGGTGCATCCACGCCTCTGAGAATCTTACGGACTCTCCGACCCCTAGGCTTCTGGGGGTGCGGGGAGAGGGACTTCCTAGTGCTCTGTGAGCCAACAATGATTCCCGAAGTCGTGCGCCCAGGCTGCACGGCCTGCAGGCGGTGCCCGCGGACCCGAGGGCACGGCGGGGCCCCCGGCGCTCACCTGTGGGGCGGAGGGCGGCCGGAGCCCCTCGAGACCGCCCCGAGCCCCGCAGCTCCCGGCACCCGCGGGCGCAAGGTCCGCGTCGGGGCGGGCCTGCCTGACCCCGGAAGAGAAAGTTGTTTTGGGGAAGGGGAGCGAGGAGACGGGAGAGGGAGTTGAGTCACTAAAAACCAAAGTTGCTCTGCTCCCCTCGGGCCGCCTCTCCTCTGCTTCATCTGTACCCCAAGCCCCCTTGGGGTCAGGCTTCCTCGGAGGGCCGGACCCTCCCCCCGCCGCTCCCCGCCGCCGCCCCGGGTCCCGGCCGGAGGAGGGGGACAGGGAGCGCCCGGGCCGCAGGTTACGACCCTCGGCGGCGGCAGGTCTCCAGGAAAACCCGGAGCGGAGCATCCCCGGGCCGGGAAACGCCCTCGCGCGCGCCCACTGGCGCGCATGCTCAGTCGCGCCGCGGCGGCCGCGAGTAGGAAGCTCCGCGCGGCAGCGGCGGCCGCGGCGGCGCGACTGGAGGGTGGGAGGGGACGTCCCGGCCGGCGGGCGGGCGGGCGCGCGGGCGGGGGCGCTGGGACTCTGCCGGGGCTCCCGCCGGAGCTTCCTGCGAGCGTTTGGGACCGTGAACCCCGGCGCGAGGAGCTAGCGAGCGCGGGAGCCGGCGAGCGCGGGGTGGGCAGCGGGCGGAGCGGGCTCAGAGCCCGGGTCTCCGCGGCTCGGCTCGGGACCCCGCGGCGGGGGCGGCGATGTTCCACTGCATCCCCCTGTGGCGGTGCAACCGTCATGTGGAGACCATCGACAAGCGCCACTGCTCGCTGGTCTACGTCCCCGAGGAGATCTACCGCTACGCCCGCAGCTTGGAGGAGCTGCTGCTGGACGCCAACCAGCTCCGCGAGCTGCCCGAGGTGAGTGGCCGGCCTCACCTGCGCGCCGTGTCCGGGGGGACCGGACGAGCCTGGCCAGCCCCCCCCCCCCCCCCGCCGTCTCCTCCCTTCCCCACTCTCCCCCTCCTCTCCCGCCTCCAGATCCGGTGAGGCAGGTCCCGCAGAACCACCTCTACCTGTATTCACCTGTTTCTTCCTCCCTTACCGCCCCCCCCCCCCAACCGCCCGCAAAGTTCCTTGTCATTTTGTACAAAGTGAGCGACTTGCTGTTTTCCAAGCGGTCACCAGGGCTTGTGCGACTAGGGGAACGTTCTGGGCTTGGTAAGTAGTTTAGACACACGTCTAAGTACTAACAACTGGTACTTGAAGCCAGGCAGGTGAGGGGCCAGGTGGCTCGAGCTGTTCCCGGGTGAAAGGACGGAGAGCGTGGCATCCGCTCCCTGGGCAGTTTTCCTTGCGGTGCATTCCCGGACCCCTGGCCGGGGCGCGTTTCCCCTGTTGGCTCCGGCCGGTCCGGAGGAGGTGGGCTGCGCTCGGGAGAGCCGCAGTATCTCGGCATCTTCCGAGGAATGTGCCCTGGGCCTTATCGCTGGTGGGCAGTGCTTGGAAGTGCTGTAGCTTGGCCGGCCGGCCTTGGCTCCGGGACCTGTCGAGAACTGAGGGTGGGGTGGGGGGGTGGGTGGGCAGGAGGAGGTCGGGCTAGGCGGAGAGCTATGCCTTGGGGCTGTGCGCAGGTGCCCAGGTGCCCGCTGCTGGGACCCGGCCTGCGTGGACCTGTTGCGTGGAAGGAGGAGTCGCTGTGAACGTCAGCAGAGGCTGTGCCTGGCGGGCCAGTCTTGCAGGCGCTTCTCTCCGAGTGGGTGCCTCCAGCCTGCTGACTTCTGCCCTTGCAGTGATGCGTTACCTCTTCAGAGTTGTTTACGTAAATTAATCAGTGGGCTGAGGCTGAACTTAAGCACCGCATGCTGATTGAGCTTTAATGGGGGGGTCTGCGGCTGCGAACTTTTAACCTTCGAGTTGGCCTCGGGAATTTAGCTTGAGTAACCCTCAAGGAGGAAGGTATCACAAATCTCAGGGTGTGCAGGAAGTCGGTGTGCAGTAATCCAAAGGTGTGCAGGAAGTAGGGAGACTAGACTGCTGGGAGTTAGGGGGAGGACCCGAGGCTTGGAGCGTTGGAACTCGAGTATCTTTCTTGTCCTTTAGTTAACACCAGGCCCAGACGCCGTCGCAGAAACACTCGCTAGTCAACGTTCTGGTTTGTTAAAATGGTCTGATACGTTCTTCAGTGCCGACAGAGTGTTTTAAAAAGCAGAACAGTGTTTCTTTTTTTTTTTTTTTAATATTTCAAGTGTTATTCTTCTTGGATTAACTTTCCTTGGTTCATGTGGAATTGGATGGTTTGCTCTGTATAATCATGGAGATTATCCTCACTAGGATCTTTGCAAAGCCCCCCAGGCTTTATTTAGCTTAGGAGCCGAAAAGCCATCCAATTCCCTCAGGCATTTATTATTTTGCAGGCATTTTCAAACACACGGCTTTGTCTGGCCTTTAGCTTCCTTAAATTTGACTTGAAAGTCATAATAAGCTCCCTTACTGCCTTAAGTTGTAAATAAGTTTTAGGCATTGCTGTTGCCAGAAAGACAGAATATGTTATTTAATACTTTTCGAGTGTGTCAGAATGAAGTTATAAAGGTTGACTGAAAAGCTGCTTAGCTAGAAATGTTTCAGTGTCCTTTTTGGTATTTTTGTTTGTTTGTTTATTTTTGTAGAACTGGAAGATTTCCTTTGACTGGATTGGCTTTTCACTCCCTTCTGCAAAGTTTGTGGGTTTTCCTGTAATGTTGGGGAATTCAGCTTCGTAAGGGGAAATTATGGGTTTTGGAAGTGTTAGGTATTCTTACTGATCCTAACTGGAAACTTCTCAGAAGCCCAAAATAGTCTGATAGCACTCTGTAGATGCAGTAAACAAACAAGCTTTTCAGAGGCTAACAGTGGTCTTGCTTATGGCTAATTATTGCTCTTACAGCTCTGAAATTAGTTTTATAGTTTCTAGGTTAAAACCTGTTTCTTCATGACTTACTGTGTCTGGGCGCCTGGTTGTGTATAAGCCAGACACGAACAGATATTTCATTCAGAGTTACAGTCTTTCCTTGGGCTGTTGTTTTGCCTTTGAGATCTGTATTACTCATTAGCACTGCTCACTGCTACCCCTGCCCCCTCCTCCAACCTCTGTCTCTCTACTTGCCCCATCACCAGGGGGCCTCTTTTGCTGACAGACCTAGATTCTTGTGGTGGTGGTCATGCTGGCTATCTGTTCTCTTTTCTGTAATTTGTTTGGAAGCACAAACCACGGGGGAAGACTGCACCCCCTTCTCCAACAGCAAAGACAGACCCACTGTCTAGGCTTCAGGATAATGAAAAGCGTCTCTCCACTGAAAGGTTTGTAACCTTGGATTTGCTTGAGTCCCCTGTTTTGCAGATTGAAACTCGGAACTGAAGTTGACTTTTTCTTTTTTTTTTCTTTTCTTTTTTTAATTTATTTATGATAGTCACACAGAGAGAGAGAGAGAGAGGCAGAGACACAGGCAGAGGGAGAAGCAGGCTCCATGCACCGGGAGCGTGACGTGGGATTCGATCCTGGATCTCCAGGATCGCGCCCTGGGCCAAAGGCAGGCGCCAAACCGCTGCGCCACCCAGGGATCCCTGAAGTTGACTTTTTCAAGGCTGTCCAGCTGGTTAGATGCAGAGTCACTGGTTGACCCCCTGGTCAGCAGTTTTGGACACCTAGTAGGAATGTGGCTTATTAAGCTTCTCACACCCATTAAAACATCAGTTATTTGGCCCCTCTTGTTTTACTAATGTCATTAAACCTGGCCTCTGTCAAACATTTATTGATCCTTCATCTTTTGTCGTTGCTGGGAATATAGAGATTAGAGAAGGTATGATTCTTATGAGCTACTCACAGCTTTGTAGGGAAACAGATGACTTTAATACAGATGTGGTGGGGGTGGGATGGAGGGGGCATTGCAGTTAGTTTGGTAGCTACTTACCTAAGTTAACCTTTTGCTGAACCTGCATTCCCATCTCTTCAGTAGTGGGTCCGCCTTGTGATTAGCCTCTCAGGGCTGTTGTTCCACAGGGAGGGCTTGGAACAGTCATCATTAGCCTGACCACAGATAGATAATAGTCTCACCATCCCATTTCCTTCCCACTTCCTCCTGGCTCGATCCCTTGGCATATGTATTAACAGATAGTCTGACTCTAACCTCCTTGAGATGCTGGCATGTTTTTGCTCATCCTTATGAGTGAGCACAGAGTTGGGCACCCAGGTCCTGCTCAGTAAACTGCTTTATCTGTCAAATGAATTTAGCCCTGTCTGCTACAAATCTTCCTTCTCTGCTTCTTTCTCTTACCTTAAGCATATCACTGCTCTGACATCTCTCCTTTTCTAATGTAGTCAGAGAATATTCAAGTTGGGAGTGATTTTTTTTTTTCAGGACTATCTAGCTGGTTAGATGCACAGTGTCTGGTGGCTTCAAGTTGGAAACCACTTCAGAAGTTAAAGGTCATTGATAGGGTGAAGCTGTTTTGTCTTCTCCAAGGTCCTATGCCCCACTCTGTACTTCCTCAGTTTTCCCAAGATGCATGGATTGTTGAATACCTTCATGTATGTGTGTTTTACTGTGATCTCTCTGGCTCCAATACAGAGCTTAGTCTAATAGGCAGCAGTTATTTTGAATGAATGCTGTTGAGCCCAGACAGCTTATAAAACTGAGTTTCATCTTGTCACCTACTCTTAATTGGAGTTCAGTTGACCTTTTGATGACTGCCAGATGACATTATCTCAAATATCTACCCCCTCCCATTATTCTTTCTCATATCTTGCTTATTTTTTTTCCCTACCCCTAGAGCACTATTACTAACTCTAGACCATATACTTGCTTACTGTTCTTTGTCTCCCCAGCTAGAACATCAGCTCCATGAGGGCAGGGATGTTTTTGTTCATGGCTGAACCTAGAACAGTATCTGGTATATAGTGGGCACTCAGCATGCTTATCGCATGAGTGATCTTCCCATGTAATGTCATGGCTAGGCTGCCCCTGTTTCTTAGCCATTGTGATTCCCCCTTCCTACAGTCTCATATCTACTGTTCATCAATCTATTGAAACTAGTCATGGCATAAAGTAAATTCAGTAGTCTTGATCTTACAGTCTTTGTTCTCCATCTCTTCTGTGCTGGGCACCTTTGTCTTCTCTTTTTGAAATAATTTTTATGCATTGTAAACATAATTTCTCATTATGATTTCAGCATCTCCAATTGTTATCTGGTAAGAGAATATCCATTCCAACTTGGAATAAGTCCCTTTTGTCTTAAACTTTCCACG